ATTTATTTGTCATTTTTAGATCAACTACGTCTTGGATGCAAGTAAACCAGCCAATGAGCTGATAGTTAAGGAGGGATCAGTTTGCCTTACCCGGGACAATTTGTTGTCTCTTGGTCTGCAAAGGAACATGGACTCATTTGTGGGTACCATTCTTGTGGAGTCATTACCCTATTTGAATTTATGGAAGTAATGCTTGATCTAAAATCAATATTTTCAAACTTTTTTAAACAGGTAGGAGATGCATGCTTGGATGTTGTGCGTAGTATGGCACAAAATGAGGTATGATTTTGACTACTTCCAAAATGTCACAGTGTAGCCAATCAGTTACTCTGAATGAAAGTTTAAAGCTTTGTATTGTTTTTATTGTTTTGCAGGAAAAAGACATATTTATTTCTACATTGCATATCCCACCAACTTGGCTCCCACCTATACACTGTGATCCTCTAATATCTCTCCCAGTAAGTTGGGCTAAGTACAACTCACATCGGACATAATTTTTTAAAATTGGCATAGAATAGATATTTTATTTTAATTCTTTATGCTTTCAGTGTATTTTATCTTGACTACTGTTTAGTCAGTAGCTCAGTGTCTTCACTGTCATACAAGAGAAGTGGAGCATTGAACCTTACAATTTGGATGAGAACAAGTTTCAACTGCTTTACTTCCTGAGATGCTGTGTCTTAGATTTTGACCAGCTTTTACGCCTATACATAATAAAGGAGTGATACTTACATTGATTAGTTTAGTAACAGTTTCAGTTTTTTTAATAAAAATAACATTGCAACATTATCTTTTTTTATATACAGGCAGATGCTTCTAAGAAAGAAGCTCTTTTTTTCCCACTATGGGTTCCAGGACACTACATGCTATGTGTAAGAGGTTTATACATTCCCTCCTCTCGTATTCAGCAACCAAGTGGGGACTGCATGTCTGTCAAACTATGTTGTATTAATGTTTTTTAAGTATGTGCGCAATTTAACTTGACAGGCCTATACTACGAAACATGCCATTTTTTTC